TAATAGCTCGCTGTGGACAAACATTAGCTCTGTTTATCTGTAGACATTAAAAATAGCATATATATTAGCTACAGGGAAAGGCTTCTCCATACACCATGCTCCACAGTGCTGGCTGTTGAATATTTGATATATTAATACATATTTATATTCTGGAGTTTGGGCAGTGATTGTGAAGTCAGGCAGATTTAGTGCCTAAAATAGTTTATAGCCTCAGAGAAAAGTGTCAGTGTAAAAATAATCATTTTGTCTTACTTCTTTACATAGAGTATCTTTTTTTTTTTTTGCCTTGTGAAATTAAACTTGAGATAAAATAAGAAAAACAATCACAATCTTTTTGAAATTATATCCATTGTATTCCAAATTTCCATGCTAATGGGGAACACAAAACCAGAGATGCAGAAGTTACGGGCTTGTGAAATATATTTTCTGATATTTCTCTATTAGTCTACGGATAAATGTAACATGTAACTGAGCCTATCACGATGAATATTTACCATCGTGTGTCCTACAGTGGTGACTTTTAGTTTAAAAGTCGTCATAGTCATATGTAGTTTAACTCTGTTACTCATAATTTGTTAAAGTTTTGCAGTGGTGCTTCATTTTGCCAAGTTGACTGAAATATATTTTCCTGCTTGGGTAATGTATATATATATATGTATTGTGTCCAGTTTTGGGCACCTCAATCCAAGAGAGATCTGGAGGTGCTGGAGCGAGTGCAGAGGAGGGCAACGGAGCTGGTGAGGGGGCTGGAAAACAAATCGTATGAGGAGCGGCTGAGGGAGTTGGGACTGTTTAGTTTGAGGAAGAGGAGGCTGAGGGGAGACCTCATCACTCTCTACAACTACTTGAAAGGACACTGTAGAGAGGTTGGTGCTGGTCTCTTCTCACAGGTAATTAACAATAGAACGAGAGGGAATGGCTTCAAGCTCCAACAGGGGAGGTTTAGACTGAACATTAGGAAGGAATTTTTCACAGAAAGAGTGGTCGGGCATTGGAACAGGCTGCCCAGGGAGGGGGTGGAGTCACCATCCCTGGCTGTGTTTAAGGGCCGTTTAGATGCGGTACTGAGGGACATGGTGTAGGGGAGGACTTTGTAGAGTAGGGGAGATGGTTGGACTCGATGATCCCAAGGGTCTCTTCCAACCTCAATGATTCTATGATTCTATGATTCTATGAAATATAGAATCATTTGGGACTCTTTCCTTCAATAGTGGGCACTGACAATGTTAAAAAAAAATTATGTCCAGTGCTGTAACAAAGCTACCTGAGCTGGTAGGAGCGTTCGCTTGCCTTTACATTCCTTCATCATACTCTGACCAGTGGCCAAGGACCTGGAGTTGGCCTACGGTCAACCTTGCCATCACAAGTAACCTTCTGTGCAGCCTGGAGTGAAAGAGCGAGCGCTCAGGGTTATCCTTCTGCACTCTCAGTAGCTACTTACAGTAACACTGAGATGCTCAAGGCAAGTCTGCTCCCGAAAGCAAAGGGGGACCGAGTAATTGTTGCCTAATTGGAGGAATTTAATTATATGCCAGGGAAAAAGGATGGAAACTAAGACGGTAGTAAGTCCTACCTGCGTTGGTCTCAGACAACGCATCTTGAACTGGTTTAAACCTCAGTTTCGACTGCACTAAGTTATTTGGGTCAGTTTAAATTCAGGATGCCCTGGAGACAATCATGAGTCTTGATGGAAGTTGTTATGAATAATGGGGCTATTTGACTATAAGTAGAAAATATGTTCCCTGTTAAATCAGTGTCACCCCAGGCAAGAATATTATTCCCCCAGCTTTTTCCTGTGACCTTCTCCCTTCCCCCCCATACCCATTTGCTCCAAGGGCTGCTCTATCTTTACCACATTTAATAGCTCCCCTGATGGCAGCAAGATGCCTTGCATGAGGTGGAAATTACTTTTGATAGTCCTTCTGCCTTTTTAACTTTTGGACTTGGGCTTTGATGAAGTCCAGAGGGGCAGTCAGATGATTTATATATGCATATATTTATTTATTTATTTAACATAATCATCCCTATCCAAAAGACAAAGGGAGAAAGACATCCTAAAAACCAGCCACTGCCTGCATAATATCTGTTCACTGTCATAGTCCCACTGTCATTTAGAAGTACTACTTTGGAAATGCTCTACCATATGCTCATTATCTGTGATCCCAGAAGGAAGATATGCCAGTAGATGACAGTGTGTTTTATTTATTCCACCGTTACTGTGTAATTCACACCCCTTCAAGGTCAACATGCAGCAAAATATGAAAATTGCTGGAGATTTTTATGGGGACTCAATGAGGACTTATAAACAAAGGATGTATTGATACTTCGTGCGTTGCATAACTGGCACAAATAGAGAAGCAGTAGACTCTTCCAAGACTATTTATTAACTGTGGTTTCTTGAGATTTTAGATATTGTAAGAAGTTCACTTCCCAGACCTTCTACCTCAAACAGCAGAGGTTGAGTACCACATGTAAAACACTCTGGTCTACTGCTAATAACGGTGGTAGAATCAAATACTATTGATTTAAAACTATTTGAAAATGGTTCAGTAAATAGTGTGGCCAACTCATTAGAACAGTTATTAATATAGGACCTAGACTGGTTAATATTCTTAATTGTGATGTAAGAATCACAGATCTAGGAGACAAAATTGCCTTTCACAGGGTCTGAAAAGAAAAATAAAGTTTCATCTTAAATATGTGAGTTAATGCCAAGCGAAGAAGCATTTCATTCTAATAAACCTGGGTTGGAACTCTGACTTTCGTAAAACACAGAAAAGGACTGAAAAATAATGTGAGACATGTCACAGTACAATGGTTGTAGTACAGTAACATCTTCTTCCTTCATGTCTTTCCATCTTAAGCCTATAATTTTTTAAAATTATATTAATTATTCCATTATGAGTGCAGAATGAAAACCTTTATGGAGTTGTTGCATTGCATCACTTCCAGTGCTGAGGTTAGCTACAGAAGCTGTGGATTATTCATAGGAGATAATGTCAAGATCAGCTTTGACTGTGTATAGAAGGGCAGATTCAGCTATCAAAAGCATTCGTCACCGGGACAGTCAAGCTTATCAAACCTGTTACAACAGCACACTGAGAATCTGCTTTGCTATAAAAAGAACTGCATCCAAGAACAAATATTGTGATGAAAATATTTCATCTGGAAACCACATAATTATAAATGATAGGATAAACTCTTCTCATTTCTGAAAGCACATTATGTCACATTAATTTTTGAAAGACATGATTTTTCTGCAGTTATGCCGAATAAAAGAGCAAGAGCATTTAGTTTTCATGTTTCTGGATTAAGAATCAGAAAGACATGAAAAGACTCTGTCAACTAAGCACATAGTTTTAGTTGTGACTGTTTCCATGTTTTCAATCAAACATTTATTTTAAAAACATCGGCATGGCTCCATGCATCATGAAGGCATCTACTGCCAAGTGTTTCCCCTTTCATATATACTTGGGAGAAAGTTTATTTCTTTGTGTCAGCAAGAGAAAATACTTGAAAAATTGAAACGTTGCCAACTATGTCCTCAAAGTTCTGTAACTATATATATATATATATTTGTGTAAAACTTTTTCTAAATTCAACTTTTTAATATTATTGCTATTAATACTGTAGTAGTCCTTAGAATTCCAGATCAAGTGCCAACAGTGGACAATAACTGTCTACCCCCAAAAAATGTACAGAATATAGAATTAGAGTTCTTGTTGAGCATTTTCTTGTTCCAACTGTCTATTAAGCTCCAGTATAGGCCTTTCATTATTTATACTGCTCTTTCAACAAGAACCTACCTACTGTAGGTGGCACCTGTTTCACTTGAGTCCAGCTATCTGAAAGTTAGATGTTCAGCATAGCCTGCTGATCTAGAATCCTTCTCTTGTCAGTGGGACAGGAAAACACTTCTGGAGGATGATTCATCCCATCCCTAGGTGGTGAAAATCAGCAATATCCTGGATGTGACCCTTTCCAACAGTGTGCAGTCTTTCTGCTGATGGAAAACAATTTTCCAAAGTCTCATTGTATGACGGATTGACTACAGATAGAATCTGCACAAAAGACTTATAGAAAGATATGCTAAACTAAGTCTTCGATGAATAAAAATAGGCAAAATTAATACCATAGTGGTCCAGCTCTGAAATTTTTATAGAAATAATCCCATTGACTTTGATTTGTGTTTGCTTCACGGAGTGCCATAATTCTGCTGCCAAAACTTCTAGTTGTGTCCAATACCTTGTAATAAAAAATTAAAAGATGAATTTTAGAAGGAAATAACAAAAAAAAGCTAAATCAGTCTTTAGCACGAGTGTGTAATTTTATTTTTTAGACCTAAAAAACCAAAAAAGTTCAAATACTTACGTAAGCAACTACACTTGAAAGGGAATTACACAATGAAATAAATAAGGGCATCCTATTTTGAAAAGGATAGCACAACACTCATATTTTCCTCATTAGGATTTCAGTTATGGCAATTCAGAAGTGGACAACATCTACAAATAATCAGCAGGAGTCTAATTGCAAGCGCTTGGATGACTAAGTTCCCTGTGGGGTTTGTCCTAAGTAGGTAGTCCTCAGTTTGTGAAGTTTACCACACACACGGCAAGGACATTTTCCTTTTGGAACTATGTCTTGATGTAAGCGCTTTTAGTCGGGTTCAATGCAACATCAACTTCAAGTCAGAAATTGCACACAAACCTAGACATGAGATTTGACACTTGAACCCTATCTATCTATGCGCATCAGTTAAAAAAGATTATGTTTATGGTGCCTGTGAGAGTATCATATATTATATGTAACAATAATGGTTTCCTTGTTTAAAAAGAGGGACAGCTGCTTTCGCTACCGTATTATCCTTATGATTCATTATTAAGCATTACCTTTTAAAACTCAAATTCAGTAAAAATGCCTTTCAAGTGCGGAGTCCTCCACTTGTGTTATTTCTGTTACTATGCTTATGGATGTTTTTTTCCCCTTTCTTCTCTTCATAGGAAATGATCTGTTTCTAGTTGCGGTGCACGAGCTGGGACATGCTCTGGGCTTGGAGCACTCTAATGATCCCACTGCAATCATGGCTCCGTTTTACCAGTATATGGAAACTGATAATTTCAAACTACCTAATGATGATTTACAGGGCATTCAGAAGATATACGGTAGGTCATACTCCAATTAAGCAACATAAGTTTTTTTGCTTAACAATACATTTGAGGTCCTCCTGTCCATGCCACGTCTCCAAAAGGGTTTGTCAGTGTAGATTCTGTCAGTTGTTATGTCACTGCTTACGTTTTTTGTGGCCTCATATAAAAGACACATGTGATATAAATAAATTCTGCAGGAATTTAATTCAATCTGACAAGGCAAGGTAATTCAAAATTAAAAAAAAAAGGCAAGCCAAAAAAAGAGCCCAAACAATAACATTGTGATTATGGTTTGAATGTGACACTAACTGACTAACTCCAATTTCACTCTTCCTTACATTTCCAAAGACATGGTTTTGTTCTTGGTTTTAAAGACTTTGATTCTGTCGGTATCTGTTAAATAGTCTGGATTTTTCTTTAAAAATACATTTTTCTCTCCTACAGTGAAAATGTTGTATCTATATATTAATGCTATGTATCCAGTACATATCCTTTGGAATTGCATGGCTTAATATTCCTCAATTAATTTTGTATTACATTCAATTTTGTACTCACAACTACTTTCAGTTTAAAAATTTGTTAGGTTTATGTTGCAAATTATCAGGGCCATTCCTTGTTTGTCTTTACTCCTAGAAAGGGCAACTATGACCATGTAGAATTACCGTACTTTTAACCAGAACTATACAACCTCCTTAGTGGTATTTTTATATTAACAAACTTTTTAAAATATTATGTTAACAAGCACTGATACATATTTTCAGAAAGCATAAAGCTTTTCATAAAGCATAAATAGCAATTTCAAAATGATTGGCTGATCAAGTTTTGTTTGGGTCGGTTTTTTTTCATGTGTGATTAGCTGGAAGAAAGGTTGTTTCTCATGACCTCATAAGTTGGTAGTCTAGACTTAAGGGCTAGACAAGAATACTTTGCTGAAAACTAACTGCTAAGCTCTAACAGCTGTGGGCTATGCATTAAGAGCAATGTGTTACCCCTGGGAAGTAATATCTGACGTCACCACCAAATGGCATATGAAAACTTTGGTTTGGGGTTAAAAACTTTCCAACGTGAGCTACTGCAAACTGATTTCTTTGCTCCTTTTAAAATCAAGAAGTGATCTGGAATCATATGCCCCAATAAAAATGTCAGAACTATTAAAATAATTACTTTGGTCTGCAGTATTACTTGAAACACCATTATTAACTGTAAATTATAAATGTCACAAGCCTTAAAACTGTGAATGAAATAAATGTCTTATTAAATTGTATGAAACCATTTGGTGAGTTTAATATTTCCTTACGTAGTCCATCTTGTTCTTGAAAAAGTATCAGAAATTCAAATGCCGTTTTTGCAGTTTTAGAGTTGTATTACTATTCCAGGGTTTTTCTGAAACAGTTCACATAAATGATGTTTATTTTTTAAAGACAAAATTGATTATGTATTTAAATGATTTGGAGAGAGGCCTAAAGAAAATCACCAAAATTAAAGTATTCATCTTGTTTCCAGAAATCTTCCTGATACAACTGAAACTTTTTATCTTTTTGTACATGAAAAATATTAGTAAACATAGTAATACGTGTAGAAAGTGAAAGGCATTTTCAGTACACCCATTGCAAGTCATTCAGTATGCCATTAGGGTTATGAATAGCATCTGTATGGGGTGGCCATTTGACTTCCAGGTAGAGAAATTATGAGTGGGAAAGCTATTTTACCTGTCATCAAAGTCTATATATTATGACAGAAAACGTATTTGAAAGAAGAAAAATATTTTAAAACTGCTGTACAGAGTTTCAGTTTTTCACTAGTTCTTTTTAATCCATTTATCCTCAGAACAATTCCTTTAATTGCCAGGCATGTAGCTTTGTACGGCACTCTGGAAAATAAAAATTGAAACAAGAAGCAATTAATTTCAGTATATTGAAGGAAACGTGAATTATGTTTTTTGTTCATATGGATGCCTAGGATTTAAAGTCCAGTTTCAAGAACCCCTATACACAGCAAGGGGCACTGGGGAAAGCTGGGAATGTCCTGTCACTAATGCACGTGGCATTACATGGCCTACAAATTTGGTCAGTAGGAAATATCAAGTGTGCTACATATATACATACGTGAATTGATGAGTGGAAGTTAAAAATATGGGTTGAAAATCCATTGACTGCTGATCTTATTAGGAACAGGTTTGGGTTTTTTTTTTCTTTTATTCTTTACAGTAGACAATCATAGAATCATAGAATCATTGAGGTTGGAAGAGACCCTTGGGATCATCGAGTCCAACCATCTCCCCTACTCTACAAAGTCCTCCCCTACACCATGTCACTCAGTACCACATCTAAACGGCCCTTAAACACAGCCAGGGATGGTGACTCCACCCCCTCCCTGGGCAGCCTGTTCCAATGCCCGACCACTCTTTCAGTGAAAAATTCCTTCCTAATGTTCAATCTAAACCTCCCCTGTTGGAGCTTGAAGCCGTTCCCTCTCGTTCTGTCACTAATTACCTGTGAGAAGAGACCAGCACCAACCTCTCTACAGTGTCCTTTCAAGTAGTTGTAGAGAGTGATGAGGTCTCCCCTCAGCCTCCTCTTCCTCACACTAAACAGTCCCAACTCCCTCAGCCGCTCCTCACACGATTTGTTTTCCAGCCCCCTCACCAGCTTCGTTGCCCTCCTCTGCACTCGCTCCAGCACCTCCAGATCTCTCTTGTATTGAGGTGCCCAAAACTGGACACAATACTCGAGGTGTGGCCTCCCCAGTGCCGAGTACAGGGGCATGATTCTGTTCAGACAATTTCTGATTCAGTTCTTACTCAGTTGGTAAAGTATGAAAAAAAAAAAAAGTGTAAAGTATGTTAAAGAAAGATTCTGGATAGTGAAAAGTAATTGTTTTCTTCATTTGTATCTTGATTTTATGGTAGTCATTCTTTATACCCCTTAACAACATGGAAAAGGTATATTAGGTCACTTTTTCCATTCCCCTCCCACTGAATGATTTGCAGTACTTGCAGCAGATTTTTGTTGTGTATTGCACCTTCGAGAGTGCCGCTGGTGGGCATGTAAATTACATCCTGCTGCTCTATTTTTTTAAAGGTCCACCTGACAGGATCCCACCACCAACCAGACCTCTGCCAACAGTGCCCCCACATCGTTCCATCCCTCCAGCAGACCCGCGGAAGAATGACAGGCAACCTAAACCTCCCCGGCCACCCACTGGTGACAAACCTTCTTATCCCGGAGCCAAACCTAACATCTGTGATGGGAACTTCAACACTCTGGCCATTCTTCGCCGGGAAATGTTTGTTTTCAAGGTAGGAGGCTGTGAATTTTTCAACGTTACATCAAATATCTACATTTCTCCTTTTTTTTTTTTTTTTTTTGTTTGTTTGTTTTAAAGCAAACTCTCATTCATCATGACTCCACTTTCCCAGCCTGCTCACAGTTAGAAAGTTCGAGAAAGAAATTAAAAAAATAAACATACACACGGCTTAAACTTCTAGCAGAGGAGGGCTGTAATGTTCTATTTTGGGAAAATACCCATGTCAGCAGAAACTGGGATGCCTTAAAATGTAAGGGTAAATAAATGCTGCAATGTTATGGAAAGATAAAAAGTGTAAATCAACTCATGAATAATAGGAATGTTTTTGTTGGGAATACAGCTACATGGCGACATGCAGTAGATATTGTCTCTTAAACGTTTTGTTGTTTTTTTTTTCCATGGAGGTATAATTTTAACTTTACAATTAGATCTGTCATTTAGAAAGGAAGTTTGTCATTGCATTGTGGTTGCATTGAAACCGCAATATCTAAGTGAAGGTCTTTGCCACAAAAGTCTTATTGCAAATGTGTCATTGTTTATTTCCATTCATCTTCTTGCTCTGAGCTGAAAATGTGTATCTGCAACAAATCGACTAAACAAACTGAACTGAAAGGCAAGCTTTTGATAGAAGGACTAAGACTCATGGGCATCAAGCCATCTTAGGAGAATGATCTGCAGTATGGTTTCCAGAAGGCATTGAATGTTGAATTATCATTATTATTCAGTCTCTTAAATCTTAAACCAATTTGCTGACAGGTTGTGCTGTGAAAATGTTCCAGAAGAAAGAAACAGGATAATCTATTATTTTGAACAACTGGTGTGTCAAATTTGCTTAAGCAATAGGAAGTGTGGGATCTTTGTTTTGTAAATATGTGATATGATTATTTTTAACTTCAATATTGTAGGTAGAGAAGAAGGGCCTTTCACAGGAATAGATAACAGTTTTCCCTTCAGCAATAGTGTAAGTACACAGGAGTGCAATGAATTTGTCCCAAAACACAAAGTTCCCAGCTCAATGGCTTTTGTTGACCTTTCTGATAGGACCCATTTCTCCTGTATATGTTTTCTTTTTAAGTAGTTTATCGCTCCAAAGAAACTTTATTAGCGGGCTTTCATTTTCTTTAGCATACCTGAAAAAGTATGTACAAATACTTTTACATGAATTAATCCAAAATTATTGAGCTACCTTCTCACCCCGATGGGCAGGAAGTATTTTTCCCATAAACAGCTAAGGATTTTTCCCACCCTGGGGCTGTCAGCCCTTTCCATTTGAATAGATAGTCTATCTTCCAACACTGGGAGGTCCTGAACCATCCGTCTTTTTATGACTAAAACTCAAAGGTTAAGGAAGAATCTAATTTTCTAACTTGACATTAAACAGGATATTAAAATACGTACTTCAATCTCATGTTATCCACCTCAAGAGCAGTAGAACATATTCTCATTTATTTTAGACATAAATCAACAAATAGTGAAATGCTATCCCACTAATACAATATTTCCTGTCTAGCCAAGTCTCTGTTCCTGGATAAATAGATTCACCACCCTTACTAATCACTCTCACCTATTCTGATTGAAAATACAAAATAAGTTTTCTCCAAAAATGTTTACTGCTTACTGTCTTAACACTACATATTTACATATATACAGTTTGTATGTTTACTAGTGGATAAACTGCATTTATGTTCCAAAATTAAAACTCCATTCATGATCCACACTCTGATGGGGCAACACGGTACAACGTTGTCAGTGAAAAATGACCAGTAACAGATTTCAGAGTATGACCCTCCAAAATGAAATTGATGCAACCATAGAAGCAATGTGTTGGAAGGGAAGAAAGAGGTGACACTTGTGTGGATTAATTTCTTTAAGGGTCCCACGGTTCCCTTTTATTCTCCTCAGGGTACCTGAGACCATGGCAAGGCATGACTTGGGTTAGCAGGCCAAGCAGTGGTGTTTTCTTAAGCATACAAGTCTTGACTTTGTAGTCTGAGTGTCTTTGGATGCTTGAGTTAGCGGGCCTTAACTTTCTCTTTTGTACATTAATTCACTACTGCAGGTTTTTGTCTGCTAAAGGAGTTGCACTACCTGTTTGATATTCTTTTTCTTTGTATGGGGAAGGGTGTTTTTTTGTGTATGGGGAGGAGTATGAAACAGATTTAGATTGGAGATTAGAAGGGGGTTCTTTACTGTGAGGGTAGTGGAGCACTGGAACAGGTTGCCCAGGGAGGTGGTTGCGGCCCCATCCCTGGAGATATTCAAGGAGAGGCTCGACGAGGCCCTGGGGAACCTGGTCTAGTTGGGGGGGTCCCTGCTGACTGCGGGGGGGTGGGACTAGATGGCCTTTGGAGGGCCCTTCCGGCCTGGGCAATTCTATCATTCTATGATTCTATGATTCTATGAAAGGAGCAGGAAAGGGGAGAAGGAATGAGAAAAGTCAGGAGTGGTTAGTAATTTTCAATTTACTTTGCAGAATCTCAGGGGGGAAGATTATAAGGGAAATCTCAGCATGTCAGACTGTAGCAGGAGCAGGGCAGGAATTAGTTCTCAGAAGGTATAAACAGGAGTAAGGACAAAATTCAGGGAAAGCATTCAGCAATGGAGAAGCAAAGCTGGAGGTTCTGTGGAAAGACCAAACAGACACAATGAAAAAAACCAAAACTCTTTGCCCCTTAATGCTAGTAAAAGGATAGACTGGGAAGTCGTAAGTGATGGGCTTAGAGCCAAGTACAGAGAGGTGGAGAAGAGGAGGGGATTGATGGCAGTACTGTACCAGGTGGAAACAATTAAAGAAGAATTATGACCTTCATTGGAAGAATTATTCCTGGATAGTTCCCAGATGAGTTAAATTAATAAAGCTGGAGGCTAATGAAATTATATCCTTTTCTTTCTTTGTCTTTATCCACCGGTCTGTAATGATTGTGTAGTGGCAGATTTTACTGCCTCCTGAACGGCATGTATGCCATGTTCCAATTTCAAATTGAAAATAGCCACTTTTTTATCTCATGGGCAAGTCTCAAGCTCAGGAGCTCAATTTGTTTAAATAATCCTTGAAATTGCTTGGGAACTTAGCCACGGAGTTGAAGGATGTGAGCCCTTTTGAATTATTAAATTATAATTTAAATAGAAAACTGAAGCACAAAAGATAACAGTTTGAGATGCACTGTGGATTTTCATAGTAGTTAAAAACAATACTAATTTTAAGAAGATTGTTTTCTCTTGGCTGTTGAGGTATTAGGTGCACTTAAGAGTATCAGAATATAAGAAACAATTTCTATGTTCAGTCAAATTGATGAGCTTTGTCTGTGGTTTTAAGACTATCTGGCATTCTCAAATGGATATATCCAAAGTAGAAATGAATAACAGTAAACTTAAAGGGAAAATGGAATTTATACTTTTCCATCCCTTTTTATTGATTTTGCCATCACTTCAACAAAGTAAAAATACTAGCGACACTTGATAAAAATTCTAGGGCTATAAAAATGAAATAAAGAGGAGCTGTTCTTGATTTAACGTTAACAGTAAATAGAAAAGTAAAAAAATCAACTTATTAAATATTTCCCAACGATCACTAAATAAAATTAGAATATTGGCGATCAATTGGTTTGGTAGAAATTATTGGATTTTAAGGAAAACAAAATTATTTTTCATCAAATATACATAGATTACTGACATATAAATGTGTTGTCCCAAAAGGACTTCTTCCTGAATTACTTAAATTAGGTGCCCTTAAAATGCCCCTGCTAGCTGTAAGGCTTGGGAATACAGTATGCTATAGAAGAAGAATATTACTTAAAATCAATGCATTGTAACTATTGGTTTCACTTTTCATCAACTGATAGTTTAAAGTGCATGAAATTTGTCTTAACTGAATGCAGTTTTTAAACTACTGCTATTATTTAACACATACTTGAACTGGTACAAGCAACCATTAGGACAGAAGAATTTCTATGCCAAAATACATGAGGGCCAAGTTTTTATCTTGAGATTCCAGTTAGCTTCTGTATTTATGCTGAATGCAATTAGTATTTAGCCATCACTCTCATTTCCAATCTTTTCTCCAGCTATTTTCTCCCTCTGTTTAGTTAGAACTCCCCTGGGACCCAGAAAATGGCTGAAAATGGAGAAAAACAAATTGGTCTTCCTTTTCTGGGAAAGCTGTGCAGAGTGGTGTGACACTGTCTGCCTTTAATGGAAAACCCTCTCAGCCATTGTATATAGCAATATGTGGTATCCGACGATGCTGGTTTTTCCTTAAAGTCTCCTGAGGGTACCTCTAGGGTGGCTGCGCCGTGAAAAGGAACCCCATTTTCTGAGGTCACCAGAAAAGATCCATTAGTGAAGAAGTTTACAGCATCTATTTCCACTTTCTTCCTGTCTTCGGTGCAATTCTCGCTGCTTTTCCAGCCTTCTGTAGCAAAACAGTTTTGAATAACCTCGGATGTCCTATCAGTAAGGGTACCTATGTTAGCACCTTGTGAATCTTTTACACAGTTAAAAAAAAAAAGTTGAAGGGAGAGACCATGGTTGCAAAGAATGTATTGTCTTTCAGAGGATGCAGGTCAAGTAACACTGGTTGCTTATTCTGTTATTTCTGAGGCGTGCATAGCTTGTGTTTGACTCTACATGCTGATTGTTCCTTGGCAACAAAATTACCTCTAGCTCTGCTTCAACAGTCTGCATTTCTGGTGGGAATATCCTTTTTCTGTATGTCCTTTTCAGTTTCACAGATTTTAAAATAGGTTTTTGAATAGGTTACATCTAGAAAAGAAAACACTAAATGTGTGGAACTTGTCCTGCGTAGTTAATAAGTCAGGTCACTGTTTTTTGGTTATGTGACACGAGTTTTTGCTTCACAGAAGAAGATCTCATATAGGTTGCACCTGCCTTTTTTTTTTTTGTTCAATGCTAAATCCTTAAGAAACCCTATATAATCGATAATGGTTTTAGCATTCATGTTGGAAATGTTAGCTCACTCCTTGAAGAAGCCTT